CCTGTAGATCCTCTAGACTAAACAGCTGTTTGCTTAGGTTAGGTTATTTTGTCTGTTTATAAGGTTGATATGTCAATATTTAAAATAGTTTTCAAACTGTTTCCTGTAGATCCTCTAGACTAAACAGCTGTTTGCTTAGGTTAGGTTATTTTGTCTGTTTATAAGGTTGATATGTCGATATTTAAAATAGTTTTCAAACTGTTTCCTGTAGATCCTCTAGACTAAACAGCTGTTTGCTCCACTGAAGCGAGTAACAGCTGGCAAGGAAGGTCGAGTGATAAAGCTAAAAAATATAAAAACTAAGAAAGGAACTGTAGACTTAATTACCACTGATCCTTCATCTACAGACATGGGAGTAAAATAAAAAAAAGTGTATCCCTCTTTTTTGTTCCGAAAATCCTTATATTATTCATGAAATTAACGTGAAAAGGAATTCAGCCTTTGCCACAAACTCTGATTTTCTTATCTCTAGATCTTTGCAACCCAATTATGCTGGACTTTTTTTTATTTTAAACTAATCTAAGTTTTCAATATCAAAGATTTCAGGTTGAAAAGAGAACAGGATTAGAAAATTTGAATTTGTGGCAAAAACTCAATTTCTTAAAGTTTATGGTCACTTTAGAAAAATAAAAAATATTTTTTAAACAGCTTTTAAGAGGTTCTTTAGCGGATTTCAAACCGTAAAGAGATCATCAAGAAAATTACATCAGACCAAGTAAATATAATTTTAATATATTTCAAACTTTTCGTTTTAGCAAAATTCTTGGACCCAGGTTTATTCAGTCTCACTGTATCTTGCAAAACAGAAAGAAAAACAAAACTCAAGTTTAAATGAAAAAAGGAATATTTGAGATAAAAAGAATAAGTTTTAGCCTCTCAATCTTTTTTGCAAACTAATCTCTACGATGCAAATATGAATAAAAATACAAAATGCTAGAAAATGTGTGCTTAAAAATACAAAATGCTAGAAAATGTATGCATAAAAAGACAAAATACTAGAAAATGTATGCTTAAAAATACAAAATACTAGAAAATGTATGCATAAAAAAACAAAATACTAGAAAATGTATGCAAAAAAAGACAAAATACTAGAAAATGTATGCATAAAAAAACAAAACACTAGAAAATGTATGCATAAAAAAACAAAATACTAGAAAATGTATGCAAAAAAAGACAAAGTACTAGAAAATGTGTGCTTAAAAAGACAAAATACTAGAAAATGTATGCTTAAAAAGACAAAATACTAGAAAATGTATGCATAAAAAAACAAAATACTAGAAAATGTATGCATAAAAAACAAAATACTAGAAAATGTATGCAAAAAAAGACAAAGTACTAGAAAATGTTCTAACTATATATCCCCCCCTCCTGGTACAATACCTCCTACCCCTCCCACCTTCAAGTACCTGCCCCCCTTCTACCTTAAGTAAGCTGTCTATATGCTGCCTCCTGATGAAGGAAGGTAGGGAGGTGAAGGTGAAGGCCAGCAGGTCTGTGACTAGACTTGAGACCCGACTAGATTGGAAATCTATAAACTTGACCTCCAATGGTTTATCGTTCTGATCGTATTTATACAGAATATTTGACCACCAGAGGTCTCCGTGACATATGACAGCAAACTGCCCCTGAGGCTGAACTATTTGAATCTGGAAATGAATATGAGATTATGGATTAGCTAGTTGTTTTATAATCCCTGGGATTTCATGATGATATTAAACACTAAATAAGAATTTTCTATTCTTCATAGTTCTCCCAGCCTTCTCATGAATATTAAATCTGAAAAGGTATTTCAGAGCTCAATTTATTTTTAATAAAAATATAATATTTACATTTTCTACGCAAAAAAAAAACAATTTTCATAATCTCTATTTTCCTGAATATTATGAAAGTTTTTAGCAAGTCTGACAAACCATGGATAACAGGGTGAGTAGTCAGTACTGGATCTGAGAACCTCAGCTAAACTTGCCATGACTGGTGTCATAGTCCTGAAATAAAGATTATTTTTCTCCTGTTCTATCTTTTTTATTCTATTCTATCCTGCTCTATCATGTTCTATCTTTTTTATTCTATTCTATCCTGCTCTATCCTGCTCTATCCTGTTCTATCCTGTTCTAACCTGTTCTATCCTGTTTTATCATTTTTTATCCCGTTATATTATGTCCTATCCTGTTCTAACCTGTTCTATCATGTTCTATCCTGTTCTATCTTGTTCTATCGTGTTTTATCATTTTTTATCCTGTTCTATCATGTTCCATCCTTTTCTATCCAGTTCTATCATGTTTTATCATTTTTATCCTGTTCTATCATGTTCTATCCTTTTCTATCCAGTTCTATCATGTTTTATCATTTTTATCCTGTTCTATCCTGTTCTATCATGTTATATCATGCTTTATCCTGTTCTATCCTGTTATATCCTGTTCTATCCTGTTCTATCATGTTCTATCCTGTTCTATTCTGTTCTAACCTGTTCTATCCGGTTCTATCCTGTTATATCCTGTTATATCCTGTTCTATCTTGTTCTATCCTGTTATATCTTGTTCTATTCTGTTCTATCCTGTCTGTTCTATCCTGTTATATAATTTTTTATCCTGTTATATAATTTTTTATCCTGTTCTATCATATTTCATCCTGCTTTATACTGTTCTTTTCCTGTTCTTTTCCTGTCCTATCCTGTTCTATCGTGTTCTATTACACCTGTTTGTAAACTCTCTAGTATCTTCTCTATATAATGAATCTTCTCTAAGTTTAGGATATTTCTCCAGCAAAACTTCAGGAGAATTCTCACTCATACATAAACTAAACAAGGAATACAAAAGATAGATCAAGATTCCATGAGTGCTGTTGTAAATCGAACATTGCAATCTTGTATTGAGGGTCAATTGAAATTAAACTAACAGTCCCTTAAATAAAAATGAACCCGTTAATGATAAGAATAAAATGGAAGATGAAGGAATCTGATTTATTTTAAAATCATTTTAAAGGAATTGAGTCATTGCCACAAACTCAAATTTTCCATTTCCTAAATCTTTGCAATCTGATGGTGTAAAGTATGAAAGGTATGAAATAGAGATTAGAAAATCAGAGTGAGTGGCAAAAACTCAATTCCTTTAGCTAAAACTAGTTCTTAGAAGTTTCCTGATAAAACTAATCTAAAAGTTTTATAGCTGACTATTGCAGGAATTTCTACAATAAGAATATTTTGAAGAGTTAACAGGGTTCATTCACGAAACAGAAATCCAGGGAAATATGTCACAATGCAAAAAAAGGAAAAATTCCTAAAAATGTTTAGGATGTGAATACCTTAAAGGTAGGTTTGCCGTGATTTATTAATTTGAGAATTATTCTATAAAGTTATTATTATATAAGTTAAATACAGAGATAAGAGAGTTACAGAGATCGATTAACACCTATAATATGCGATATTTTCCACATCATGTTCTATTGTGTACAAGTACTGTACACGACCAATCAGGAGATATCTGTATTCAGGGATATTTAAGGATCCTTGGAATAGGAAATGAAAAATCTTTAAAAATAGACAATATTCATATACGTTATGTTTTATGTTTAAAATTGGAGTATTTCTTTAAAAGTTGTAAAACTTAACCCCTGAATGCAACAAGTGGCCGTGAGATGTCAGTCAAAAAACATTACATGGAACCGTAGCATGGCGTGCCGGGACACTATAGGCCTGCTCAGCCTATCCAGGTAGAGTGTATGAGCAGTCTGTGTAGTCTGTGGTTAAATACAAACAGAGAAGCGAGAGAATTTCAACTAAAGCAGCAGGAAATAAATGCTCAAAATAAAATGGTAAATTTTTAAAAATAATTCATTAAACGAGTTTTAACCTGATTGCGTGGAATTTAGCTATTTCTCTGATTGTTAACTCTGCGTGTTCCACATTCATCTGAAATATTTCTGAAATAAAATGTGATAATTGAGACTCTGGATTAAGCAGTATCTAAACATGAATCTGGATTAAGCAGTATCTAAACATGAATCTGGATTAAGCAGTATCTACACATGAATTTGGATTAAACAGTATCTTAACATGAATATAAATTAAGCAGTGACTTAAAAAATAATATTAAATATAATTAGAATAAAAGCAATATTAACAAGGTGAGAAAATCATGAAAATGCAATATTAACAAGGTAAGAAAACATGAAAATGCAATATTAAAAAGGTGAGAAAAACATGAAAAAAATAAATTTTTTTTTTAAATCTAAAATGTACCTTTGGATCGCCTTGTTTTAGAGGAACAAAACCTTGAGGAACCAAATTTTCCATGATAATCATATCATCCTTAGAACTACCTTCTCCTGTCCATCTATACAGGATATATATCATCCTTAGAACTACCTTCTCCTGTCCATCTATACAGGATATATATCATCCTTAGAGCCACCTTCCCCTGTCCATCTATACAGGATATATATCATCCTTAGAACTACCTTCCCCTGTCCATCTATACATGATATATATCATCCTTAGAACTACCTTCCCCTGTTCATCTATACAAGATATATATCATCCTTAGAGCCATCTTCCCTTGTCCATCTATACAGGATATATATCATCCTTAGAGCAACCTTTCCCTGTCCATCTATACAGGATATATATCATCCTTAGAGCTACCTTCCCCTGTCCATCTATACAGGATATATATCATCCTTAGAGCTACCTTCCCCTGTCCACCTATACAGGATATATATCATCCTTAGAGCTACCTTCCCCTGTCCATCTATACAGGATATATATCATCCTACCTTCCCTTGTCCATCTATACAGGATATATATCATCCTACCTTCCCCTGTCCATCTATACAGGATATATATCATCCTTAGAGCTACCTTCCCCTGTCCATCTATACAGGATATATATCATCCTACCTTCCCCTGTCCATCTATACAGGATATATATAATACTACCTTCTCCTGTCCATCTATACAGGATATATATATCATCCTACCTTCCCCTGTCCATCTATACAGGATATATACCTTCCCCTGTCCATCTATACAGGATATATATCATCCTTAGAACTACCTTCCCCTGTCCATCTATACATGATATATATCATCCTTAGAACTACCTTCCCCTGTTCATCTATACAAGATATATATCATCCTTAGAGCCATCTTCCCCTGTCCATCTAGACAGGATATATATCATCCTTAGAACTACCTTCCCCTGTCCATCTATACAGGATATATATCATCCTTAGAGCTACCTTCCCCTGTCCATCTATACAAGATATATATCATCCTTAGAGCCATCTTCCCTTGTCCATCTATACAGGATATATATCATCCTTAGAGCAACCTTTCCCTGTCCATCTATACAGGATATATATCATCCTTAGAGCTACCTTCCCCTGTCCATCTATACAGGATATATGTCCATCTATACAGGATATATATCATCCTACCTTCCCTTGTCCATCTATACAGGGTATATATTAGCCTACCTTCCCCTGTCCATCTATACAGGATATATATCATCCTACCTTCCCCTGTCCATCTATACAGGATATATATCATCCTACCTTTCCCTGTCCATCTATGCAGGATATATATCATCCTACCTTCACTTGTCCATCTATACAGGGTATATATCATCTTACCTTCCCCTGTCCATCTATACAGGATATATATAATCCTACCTTCCCCTGTCCATCTATGCAGGATATATATCATCCTACCTTCCCCTGTCCATCTATACAGGATATATATCATCCTACCTTCCCCTGTCCATCTATACAGAATATAAATCATCCTACCTTCCCTTGTCCATCTATACAGGATGTATATCATCCTACCTTCCCCTGTCCATATATACAGGAAATATATCATCCTACCTTCCCCTGTCCATCTATACAGGATATATATCATCCTTAGAACTACCTTCCCCTGTCCATCTATACAGGATATATATCATCCTTAGAGCTACCTTCTCCTGTCCATCTATACAGGATATATATATCATCCTACCTTCCCTTGTCCATCTATACAGGATATATATCATCCTACCCCTGTCCATCTATACAGGATATATATCATCCTACCTTCCCCTGTCCATCTATACAGGAAATATATCATCCTACCTTCCCCTGTCCATCTATACCTACAGGATATAGAATGTGGTGAATAAAGCCAAACAACAATTCACACTTTTTTTCTCTCGATGGCTTAAATATTATCAGATCATAATGAATTTATCATTCAAAACACACAAAATTGAGAAACGCTAAACATGTGTATTGCACTTTCTAGTTTCTACATACGTGTATGAACTATAGGTTGCACTATATAGAAACAGTTTTATAAAAATAAACATGAAATGGAAATTTTTTGGTTGAATACCCATAATCCCGAACGCTTGTGGGCAATTGTGAATTATATGCAGAATCTTCTCGATCTTTTGATTTCTCTGTTCCCTCATTGGTTAAATGCAAAATTTCCTGGCTTCTGATTGGATGAAATCAATCTGCAGATTAACAAAGGATGCATTGATCAAGATATCCACTGTAAAAGAGTTCTCAGCTGAGAAAGGTTTCAGGTAAATGATAAAATTGGTTACCTGGAATAGTAGCAGCGAGGTATATCTACTACTTGACTCTCATGACTATCCAACGGAATATTTGTCTTAGATTTCACGAAACTAAATCAAAATTCATCATGAAAATAATCTGCAATGACGACCAGAATTATTTCAAAAATTATTAAAGCTTTAAAACCGTGAATTTGGTTCAGAAAATACCAGAATTTTGTCTATGAAGTCTGAATTATGTGATTGAATTGGGTTGTAGTGGATTGTAGTGGATTGTAGTGGGTTGAAGTGGATTGTAGTGGATTGTAGTGGGTTGAAGTGGATTGAAGTGGATTGAAGTGGATCGAAGCGGATTGAAGTTGATTGAAGCGGATTGTAGTGGATTGAAGTGGATTGAAGTGGATTGAAGTGGATTGAAGTGGATTGAAGTGGATTGAAGTGGATTGAATCGGATTGTAGTGGATTGTAGTGGATTGAAGCGGATTGTAGCGGATTGTAGTGGATTGAAGTGGATTGTAGTGGATTGAAGTGGATTGTAGTGGATTGAAGTGGATTGTAGTGGATTGAAGTGGATTGTAGTGGATTGAAGTGGATTGTAGTGGATTGAAGTGGATTGTAGTGGATTGAAGTGGATTGAAGCGGATTGTAGCGGATTGTAGTGGATTGAAGCGGATTGTAGTGGATTGAAGTGGATTGAAGCGTATTGAATTTAAGTGGAATGAATCGGATTGAAGTGGATTGATGTTAAGTGGAATGAAGAGGAATTAAGTGGATAAAGTGGAGTTAGGTGAATCAAAGTGGATTGATTAGAATTGCAATTGATTTCTGTTGATTGGAGTAAATAATTAAAGTGGATTGAAGTGGATTACTTTGATTACGGCAGATTAAAGCGGAATAAAGTGGAATAAAGGGAAAAAATGTGGGAAAAAATGGATTAAAGTGGATTAAAGTGGAATAAAGTGGATTGAAGTGGATTGGAGTGGAACAAAGTGCATTGAAGTAGATTGCAGAGAGAAAAATTTATTATTGATGAGATATTGGAAGATGGTCAAAAGATTGAGATCAATAAATCGATTGCTGACAAAAGACAGACCAAACTAAATTTAAACAATATTAGTCTTCCCCCCTTTCAACAAAAGAATTGCACCAAGGAAGCCAAGTTCAAGTTTATTGTAATGAGATGAAGAAAATGATATTTTTTAAATAATAGGATTGTTAAACTTTACAAAAATACACATAACACAAGAAAACACTTTATTAATCTTTTTATTTTTAATCTAAATTTTTAGGACAACTTACTGTAACTATCTGTATAATCCACGAAATATTCACGGGCTTTTGGAGACAAACGCAAAAAGATTGCAAAGATGTTTTTTTCAAGCTTCATTGCTCGAAAGATCTTAAAAAATTTCATCCTCTGACATTTTGTTTAATAATTGTATATCTACCTATTTCAGAACAATCCTTTTATGGAATAGTAATTCTTTGATATCCATTTCCAAAAATTGCTAATTATCATATTGTGAAGATTATATATTTACTGATATTCTTAGGATATAAATATATTACAAATTCTATAAATATGTTGAGAATTAAGCTTGAAGATCTTCTCTTCTTCCTGGTTCTTTTCAGACTGGCTCCTGGATTCTCTTTTCATCCTTCCCGGATTTTATCCTTCCATCTCTTGTGGATTCTTAGTTTGTGATCTCTACAATATCAATATTGACATGAAAATAATGTATACCGTCCGCTGCGCAACTTTATTTAAGAAGTAGAATTAAAGAATTAAGCATCTCGAATCATTGCTTTAGTCCAGTAAAATAACGCCACCTGCAGCTTATAACAGTTTTATGTACTGTTCTGTATACTGTACTATGTAATATATACCTGGCCATATCTATGAAAACTGAACTGTACTATGTACTATATACCTGGCCATATCTAGGAAAACTGCACTGCACTATGTGCTATATACCAGGCTATATCTAGGAAAATTGTACTGTATATACCTGGGCTAAATCTAAGAAAACTGTAATGTACTGTACATACCTGGCCATATCTAGGAAAACGGTACGGTACTATATATACCTTGCAATATCAAGGAAAACTGCACTGTACTTTACATACCTGGCCATATCAAGGAAATCTGTACTGAACATACCTGGCCATATAAAGGAAAACTGCACTGTACTTTACATACCTGGCTATATCAAGGAAATCTGTACTGTACATACCTGGCCATATCAAGGAAAACTGTACTGTACTGTATAGTGTACATACCTGGCCATATCAAGGAAAACTGTGCTGTACTGTACAGTGTACATACCTGGCAATATCTAGGAAAATTCTACTGCACTGTACATACCTGGCCATATCTAGGAAAACTGTACTGTACTGTACATACCTGCCCATATCAAGGAAAACTGTGCTGTACTGTATATACCTGGCCATATCAAAGAAAACTGTACTGTATTGTACATACCTTGCCATATCTAGGAAAACTGTACTGTACTGTACATACCTGGCCATATCTAGGAAAATTGTACTGTACTGTACATACCTGGCCATATCTAGGAAAACTGTACTGTACTGTACATACCTGGCCATATCTAGGAAAACTGTACTGTACTGTACATACCTGGCCATATCTAGGAAAACTGTACTGTACTGTACATACCTGGCCATATCTAGGAAAACTGTACTGTACTGTACATACCTGGCCATATCTAGGAAAACTGTACTGTACTGTACATACCTGGCCATATCTAGGAAAACTGTACTGTACTGTACATACCTGGCCATATCTAGGAAAACTGTACTGTACTGTACATACCTGGCCATATCTAGGAAAACTGTACTGTACTGTACATACCTGGCCATATCTAGGAAAACTGTACTGTACTGTACATACCTGGCCATATCTAGGAAAACTGTACTGTACTGTACATACCTGGCCATATCTAGGAAAACTGTACTGTACTGTACATACCTGGCCATATCTAGGAAAACTGTACTGTACTGTACATACCTGGCCATATCTAGGAAAACTGTACTGTACTGTACATACCTGGCCATATCAAGGAAAACTGTACTGTACTGTACATACCTGGCCATATCTAGGAAAACTGTACTGTACTGTACATACCTGGCCTATCTAGGAAAACGGTACAGTACTATACATACCTTGCAATATCAAGGAAAACTGTACTGTACTGTACATACCTGCCCATATCAAGGAAAACTGTACTTTACATGCCTGGCCATATCAAGGAAAACTGTACTGTACTGTACATACCTGGCCATATCAAGGAAAACTGTACTGTACTGTATAGTGTACATATCTTCTCATATCAAGGAAAACTGTACTGTACTTTATAGTGTACATACCTTGCCATATCAAGGAAAACTGTACTGTACTGTACTTACCTGGCCATATCAAGGAAAACTGTACTGTACTTTGTACTATATACCTGGCTATATCTAGGAAAACTGTACTGTACTGTACTGTACATACCTGGCCATATCAAGGAAAACTGTACTGTACTGTACATACCTGGCCATATCAAGGAAAACTGTACTGTACTGTATAGTGTACATACCTAGCCATATCAAGGAAAACTGTACTGTACATCTGAACCTCCTTCTCAAATGTGTGACTGGGTTGAAGAAAATTTCTAAAATAAAATAAAATAAAATTGTAAAATGTAAATGTCTTTATTAATGCTATTGTGCATGCATTCCTTTAACAAAATTCACGAACATTGTACAATACATGCACACTGTTTACTTTTTATGCATGTACAAATTGTACATGTTTGGTGTACCAACAATCAAGGTACTAATGCAAGGAAAGTTAATTGCAGTTGTGTATATGCGTACCTTTTGAAACCAGTTCTCTCTGGGAGGAATTTGTAAACAAGAATAGATTCATGCATCAGTGTTTGTCTAGTATCCGAGGAGGTTAAAAGCATTTAATCTTGGTAATTTTGATAATTCACATAACAGTTTCCTATGACCAGAATATTTCATCGATTATTTTTGTGAAAATGGATTCCATGTCAGGCTGTGACATCCGTCTTGTGTTTACTTTTCCGCCTGAAGACAATACACTGCAGTACAAAATATGCGTACACCTTTGAAATAACTTTCCTTGCATTAGTACCTTGCCTACAATTATCTTTATTGAACCTTGTAGGGCACTTCATCTTTTTTTTAAATATGGTTTTCCCGTTTTTTTTCGATAATTCCGCTTATATTTAAAATCCACCAAACCAAATAGATCATCAAGTACAATAGGTGGCAACAGAGGAATGAACCAATTATACACAACGTCACAAGTGTCAAATATAACAAGGAAAACGAAATTGTCTCACATTAGTTGACATGATTTCCAAGATTAAATAAAAAGTGTAAAACAGAAACTAAAGAACATATAAAATTGCACTTATCTTATTGTAAGAAAAGCACTTTATTCTAAAATTATCACTATTATTGATTATTTTGTCGGACATAAAAACTGAATTGACACTTGTGACGACAGAATACAACTGTACTGAGAGTGTACAAATTCTACGTTGCCATCTATTGTACTAGAATCTATTTGCACCAAACAATAAATGAAAATTAGCAAATATGTTTGTTTTGTTTTTGTTTATAATGTAGAAACAGTGTTTACAGACAATTTAAAAACTCAGAATGAGAAACAGGAAAATAAACTAAATTCCTAAAATGATGTGGTTTAATATTGTATATGAGGAAAAAACACTCTGAGGAAAAAACCATAAAAAAAGTTTTAATTATTTAGGAGAAGCCTATAGTTTGTTTACGTAAGTAGATATAAATAACTATTTTTTAAATTTATTTCTAAATATTTATTTTTGTTTAAAATGGTAAAATATGTTTGAAAAATGTCGGGGAAGTGTACTTATACAATATTGAAGAAAAGAGCACCTTGCATCCTCAGATTGTGGTAAAGATTTGATTATAAGTTTATATATTTTCTCCTTGTTTCCATCCATCCTCTCCCGGCTCCCTTCCTTCTCTTTACTCTCATCCTGACAAATAAATTTATTCTCAAGCTCGAAGAGAAAATTTGTAGAACAGTTCTATTGGAAAAACATTAGCCTTGGAGGGGGGAAAGGGGGAAGTTTGAGGGGTCGTTAAATTTGAACAAAAAGATCCAGATTTTTGAGCTAACATAATTTACACAGTGATGAGACCCATTAAACTATGGAATAGAAACACAACAAGTGTTCACAGACCCATTTGAATTTGAACTTACTGTTCAAACTATTGAATTGATTTCTAAAACAACATCAAATACCCATAAGATTTCAAAAATGTCGTCTTTCTTCTCCACAGTTTTTTAAGTCACACTGTATTATTTTTTCTTCTTAAATATTTGGTAAAACTGGAATACTGACGGGATTGTTCTAAACAGGGTTGACAGCTTGGAATTCATTTAATTTATGTTCTCCAAGTTAAAAACAAATAGTTTGAAAATACAAAAGAAAAATTTCACCGAACAGATTACTCGTATCATATTCTAATTTTCTAATTTCTTTGCAACCTGATGTTTTAGATCTTTTGTATTCAAACTTTAGTGGAAATTGAAAGACTCAAGTTATGATTACTATACTTTTTTGGTTATCAGTGTTTGATTTCAAAGTTGGTAAAATCAAATATTTATTCCATTAGGTTGCAAAGATATAGGATGCAAAAACTAGTTCTTCGAAAAATAAATTAGCTGAGAGATAATTCCTTGATTTTAACGTAAACGTCGACAGCGTGAACCTCGGAACAGAAATGTCTCCCAAACTCAGCTCCGTCCTTAACCTCAACCTTCGTTACTTGAAGACCTGACCCCAGGCAGAACATTTGTATCAGAAATTTGTGTATTTGAATTTTGTTGTTGCTTTGATTTTGATGTATTCAAACATTTTGTGAAATTAACATCTAAGTTTTATGGTGAAGGTTTGTTTATCAAACTCAGTTATTTAGCTTTATTTTTAATCGTTCGTGGTCCCCCAATAAAAAAATAGGATGTTATTTAAAAAAATATTGTTTCAAAAAGATCAATATAATTTTACGTAGCATATCTATAGTGTATGCTGTAGAGTACATACATTGTATATGCTGTACAGTTCAGTGTATGTTGTACTATGTTCGCTGTATTGTACAATACAGTGTATGGTGTTCTGTACACTGACTCTACGTCATTTCTCTTAATATCATGATTTAAAAATCATTAAATTTTAACTCTTTATAATTCAAATATTATTTTGATTCAGAATTTTTAAATCTTGTCTTTGTAAATTAAATCAATGCATTGCATTTATTAATTATTAATGTGTAGAATAAATTATCATATCTTATTGTACTTCAGAGTTATCCAATATTTCATAATTAATACAAAATAACAAAAATTATAAACAAAAGTACTTTTATGAAATATTTATTATATAGCCGAGGAATTAAAAAGTAAAATGTTTGGAAAATGTTTATTCTAAGTTCAACTGAACTAGCATTATGTTAATGTTTTATTTTTATATTTATGAACAGAATATCCCAAACATTCTGAACATTATGAACAGAATATTCCTAACATTCTGAACATTATGAACAGAATATTCCTAACATACTGAACATTATGAGCAGAATATCCCTAACATTCTGAACATTATGAACAGAATATCCCTAACATTCTAAACATTATGAACAGAATATCCTTAATATACTGAACTTTAGGAACAGAATCTAACATTCTGAACATTATGAACAGAATATCCCTAACATTCTGAACATTATGAACAGAATATTCCTAACATACTGAACATTATGAACAGAATATTCCTAACATACTGAACATTATGAACAGAATATCCCTAACATGCTGAACATTATGAACAGAATATTCCTAACATACTGAACATTATGAACAGAATATCCCTAATATTCTGAACATTTTCAACAAAATATTCGAAACATTATGAACATAATTTATCCTTAGCATTTTGAACATTATGAAAAAAGCATATATTCCTAACATTCTAAACATTCTGTTTATGGTTTCAACTAAATTTTCTCAATTAAAAACACTTTGGGATCGTGAGAATAAAATGTTAGGTTCTAGTTTATCAACTTGTTCAATCAACATTATGTTTAAACTTGAATTAGGAGTTAAGCGCAGTTAAATCAATCTTCCTTTATAAATTTCCAACTCTTTGCAAAATAGGTTTTGAAGTAAAATCAACGTAATGGTCTGTCCCTGAGTGCCCCTCGGAGTCCCGAAGAATATTCTCGAAAAATGTTTTTGTAAGATCAGGAAGGATTTCATTCTTGGATCTCGATATTGTTCTCAGAGCCTGGACAGAATACCAAGATAAACAAACAGAAAACTTTTAGTATTTCAGAGAACGATCCTTTCCTAAAATTATTTTTATTACCCCCCCCCCTCTCCCCTGGCATAGTAAACATACTCGAATATTTGCTACCCTAACGATTTTGGTGCGTACTTCAGCGATCTGCAGTACTCTGACCGAATAAATAGTGGGTTTTAGCCAAAGAGAATAGAATATATATTAGAGTTGAATTTAGACACCCCCTCGGTATGAATTTTGTCAGTCCCTTTCAGCCTAAAAGGGATTTCGTAGTGTACAAATCATGTAAAAGTTCACAAATTATTATTAATACAGTAAGTTCCCTAGACTATCCATTTCAATTTCGAATTTTTAAAGCTGTTAAATAAACTTTATAAAATGAATTAGGTGAATAAAAAACATCATTTGATTTATAGTTATAACGGAAAATCATCGTTTGTAAAGTGAAAGGCATAGAGTCTATGTGAAATGATCATTGGTCAATTATGAAACCAGCCTATTTCATAATTTGGGTTTCTTTTAATATTAATTTTAGATTTTCTATAAAATGATGTTCCAGGGCCCAAAAGGTTATATAGCAAAATTTGTGAAGTACACCTTCAGTATGGAAACTGTACAACAAAATGGTCGTTTTACACTTTTTCTAGTAAATTCCACTCTAATATATATTCTATTCTTTTTGGTTTTAGGGGACAGTTATTATTTGTAGATTTTTATAATTTTTGTGTTTTTGCATTCCTTGATATACATGGTTAACATTCCCCCCCCCCCATCCAACCCTTCATTAAAAATATTATATCCTGAAGTCTGTTCCTGAAGGACATTATTATAAAGTTGTTTGACACTAGCTGTTTTCTTCAGGAGTTTAACCTTCGACTTAGGCAGGTTGAACAGGCTCGGGTCCGGACTATAAAATATAAAAGATTTAGGTGGGTTGAACAGGCTAGGGTCTGGACTATAAAATATAAAAGATTTAGGCAGGTTGAACAGGCTCGGGTCCGGACTAAAATATAGCATTTATTGAAATCGTGTACAATAGTTGATATTAGGTCAGATTAACAAGCTTAGATGGATACAAAATATGTACAATTTACATAAACTCATTACTAAAATTATTTAGGAAATGGAAACGAATGAGTATGTGTACTTTTGTACAAAAAGACAATACATTTGGAATCAACAAATAATAATTTCTACAGAAAGTGAATTTGTTTAATTATTGACAAATATTAATATTATCCAGGGCCCAACTCAGGACAAAAATTAATATTATCCAGGGCCCAACACAAGAAAAATATAGATATTTTCCAGGGCCCAACTCGACTTGACCAATATGAATATTATCTAAGCAATTTCTGAAGCAATTCGGCTCAATTTGGCTCACGCCTAGAGTTTTTGAGCTACAGCCTTGAAACTTTGCATGCAGGCGCGGAAACACTCCAAGATCTGGACAAATATAAATATTATCCAGAGCCCAACTCATGACAGATATAAATATTATCCAGGGCCCAACTCAAGAAAAATATAAATATTAACATGCCTGTTGAGGACAAGTGACTTCGAAAAAAGAGAACAATGCAATTTACAAAAATAGAAATTGAATAAATTCTAAAGTGCTGAGAAGAAAATAGGGGTGGTGAGGGGTTAACTTAGATGATTTCTTTAAGATTTTTTAATATGTCTCTAAAGTTATTATTGTTTCAGAGGTATTTTTCAATTTTGCTAAATTAAAATTTTAGAATTTGGGATTCTGAATAATTTATAGAAATTCTCCGGAGACTCTAGAGAAAAATATTATTTTAAAAATAAAATTTAACTTTCTCTCCTTGATCTATCTCAATCTTATTCAACTTGAACATTTTCACATTAATGAACAATTAAAAAATTGTTGCCTTCAAGGAAATATCAAAACTACCGCTTTTGCTTTGGAAATAAAGAACTTTTTCAAATTCCATTATTTACCAAGGATGAAATCTTATTTCAATTATTTGCTCAGGATAGAATCTAATATCCATTATTTGCTCAGGATAGCATCAAACTTACAATGTTGGCTCAGGATAGAATTCTACTTGAATTATTTTCTCAGGATAGAATTTAACTTCAATTGTTAGCTCAGGGTAGAATCTAACTTCCATTATTTGCTTAGGATATCATCAAACTTCCAATGCTTGCTCAGGATAGAATCTAACTTGAAATATTTGCTCAGGGTAGAATAGTACTTCCAATATTAGCTCAGGATGGTATCTTACTTACATTTTTTGATCAGGATGGAATCTTACTTCAATTATTTTCTCAGGATAGAATCTAACTTCCATTATTTGTTCAGGATAGAATCTAACTTCCATTATTTGTTCAGGATAGAATCCAACTTCCATTATTTGCTCAGGATAGAATCTAACTTGAATTATTTGCTCAGGATAGAATCTAACTTCAATTGTTAGCTCAGGATAGAATCTAATTTCGATTATTCGCTCAGGATAGAATCTACTTTCCATTATTTGCTCAGAATAAAATCTAACTTCTATTATTTGCTCAGGATAGAATCTAACTTCCATTATTTGCTTAGGATAGAATCTATAACTTCCATTATTTGCTCAAGATAGAATCTAACTTGTATTATTTGCTCAGGATAGAATCTAACTTCCAATGCTTGCTCAGGATAGAATTTAACTTGAATTATTTGCTCAGGATAGAATCTAACTTCAATTGTTAGCTCAGGATAGAACCTAACTTTCATTATTTGCTCAGGATAGAATCTATCTTCAATTATTTGCTCAGGATAGAATTACTTCAATTATTTACTCAGGATAGAATCTACTTTCCATTATTTGCTCAGGATAGAATATTTTATGAATTATTTGCTCAGGATAGAATCTAACTTATATTTTTTGCTCAGGATAGAATCTAACTTCAATTATTTGCTTAGGATAGAATCTTAATTCCATTTGTTGCTCTCAGTCCTGAGCAACATTAATATATTGCTCTAAATATGTTTACTACTCCGAAGGACTGAAAAATCCCCACTTATAAACTTAATTAAAAATACAATTAATCTAGAGGAAAAATATGATGGAACTAGAGGAAAAATATGATGGAACCAGAGGAAAAATATGATGAAACCAGAGGAAAAATATGATGGAACCAGAGGAAAAATATGATGGAACCAGAGAAAAATATGATCAATTCATAGAAAAAATATAATAAACTCAGAGGAAAAATTGAATAAACAAAATATCAAAACTGTATAAAAAGTCAGTTAAAAAACATAGCAAAATATAATTATTAATTAAGTTAGATGCTAAATCAAAGATTTCTCGGAAAGGACAAGATATGCAGTTTCAAATATTCAAATGAAAAATTATTTTTAGAATAGTTTTTATTTGGAAAACGGAAAATGATTTTAAAGTTATGAAAAATTCACAGTGAAAATAAAACAAAAATCGTAATAAATCGTTTTGAAAACTTTTTTACAAAAGTTTCAAAACGACTTTTGCAAGCTTTAAAGATAATGAAAATAATACAATCTGAAGTACTATCTATGAAATCTGTGCTGCTGTAAATACAATATGGTGCTGCACACTTTTAATAAGCAAAATTGCATTGAAGTGCATAAGTGCATTGAAGTGCATAAGTGCAGTATAGATTTAGGATTTTAGATATAGAATGGTATTAATAAATACATACACCGGGTGTTCCACCAAACATGAAAAAAATGTCAGAACCTACAGGGTGTCCCACATCAAATTAGATCGTTTATCTTGGCTTTTAGAGTATTATGTGCGTATTTTGGAACGCTCTGTACTGTATAGTTACAAAATGTAGAATTGGGAGTTGTATATACGTTTTTTTAGATATTTTAGAATTTTGGGCTTTTAAGAGGCTTCACAAAAATCTACAAAGTTTTAAGTTATTATAAAATAAATTTTGTACAAGTTTTCATTTGTGAAGTTATGCAAAATTTCGACTCTGGCAGAAAATATCTACCCCAAGCAAAATGAATCCTTCATTAATTGTTTGTTAAAGAACTGTTTAAAAAACTGTTTGATCTGAAATTTTCTGCCGAAGTTAAGATTTTGCATATCGTACAAAAAGCTAATTTAAAAAAAAATAAAACTTTAAAATAAGTTAAACTTCTTAGAGTCTCCCAACAGCCTAAAAATCCAGAATGCTTAATTGCAGATAAAAACAACCCCAAACTCTAACCAAATGTGTATAAAAAAATTTGCATGAATCACAAGCACTCCATAACCTGGTGACCTCATTTACACTTTGTAATTGCATGCAAAGACGATCTTCGAGTCGTCTCTCAATTGTCATGTTTAAATGGAAACCCTGTATGTAAATATTATGATATATAAACTATACAAAGATGAATTATTGAAACTAGACTAGTGTAATAAACAAATATCTTTATATATATCTAATTCAACCATGAATACCAAACCTTCTCCCAATCTTAAACTAGACTAGTATAATAAACAAATATCTTTATAAATCTAATTCAACCATGAATATCAAACCTTCTCCCATCCTTAAACTAGACTAGTATAATAGACAAATATCTTTAAATATATCTAATTCAACCAAGAATATCAAACCTTCTCCCATCCTCAAACTAGACTATTGTAATAGCCAAATATCTTTATATATATCTAATTCAACCAATCCTTTGTCTCCCCCCTCCATTCTGTTTAAAAAAAATTTAACCATTTCGTATTTTCAATCCCCAAAGCCCTTGCTTTTTAACGTAAGGTAGGATATTGGCATCCATTATACGTCCCTACCATATTCTTCTCTTTGTTCTCGTCCGAGCCACCTCCTAATTCTCTTCCTTGTCATATTTTTCTTTTAAAATGTCGAATTCTTAAGATTTAGTTAGACCTATTAAGAAAACTTAAATATTGAGTTAAATTTGAAAATGAAAAATCAGTTTAGTTCGTAATCGTAGACCTTAGAGTTTTCCAACTATGAATTCTGTTAGATCAAAAAATTTAAATTTGAAAATCAAAGTTTTACATCAACAAGTTTCAAAGAATAGAAAATTTTGAATTTGTGGCCAAGACTTAATTCCTTTCACTTACAAAAAAAACCTGACAGCATATTCAATACTCAGCACATTGGAAAGTAGTGTGTATTCATAGTGTAGCCAAATCTTTAGCATGGACTTAAAACTTTTAAAGCTTAAGAATTAATTAAAAATGAATATTGGTTTCGGTAATAAAATGAGGAGGCAGTAACTTAAATAAATGTTGTGGCTGGGTTTCCTGTCCCTCAATAATTCTTCCTATTCCCCTGCTTAAAGGGACTGCATATGACACTCCATAATCTATAAAAAGATGCCAATGTAAGATTCACAACGGTACCATTTAAAGCTTTGCCTGTTGAAATACGAATTAGATTTTAATATTTATAATTTAGTAGACTGATTATTTTCAATTTTGGTCTTTCTACAAAATTAATCTGCGCATTTCTACTGCATGAAAACATGTTGAAAAACGACAATATCTTCCACATTATTGATCAGATAATGGTTTCATGGACAATGGATAATCGTTATTAATCTGGCATTATATTGCGGGTCACTTAAAAATTACGGCAATGCTTTATAATATGAACAATAATTTTGTTTAAACTTTCTTGATGTAAATTAATCTTATCAATTTGTGATCAACAGAGTCCACAATATTCCTCTTAATTTTAACATACGAGAGTTAGGGACCGATGCAGGGAGATTCATTAAAAATTGAACTTCTTTTTGACTTACATATACATATATGGATTGGAATCGGTGAGGAGGCATCTTATGAACTTACAAGTTTTAGTCTAAAGTCACAGATTAAAAAGAAGAAACAGTAAATAACCCACCAAATGTGAATGCAAATTGAAATACTAGTTTTAAAATCTCCTTGTAAACTGCAAGCTTGCGTGGTGCATAGTTCATTGTGCAGTGCAGATATGTATTCACAGTGATGCTGAAGGAAATCAAGACTTTTGTTGTACCCAACCCAGGGACTACAATTTCCTAAAACTACATGTCTCTACGGAACTAATGAGCCATAAAACCACATTCTCCTATGAGGATTTTTGAAATAAATCGAATTTCAAAATTGTTAACGAATTAAGGTATAATTCCTACTGTTGGAGAATTCCAGAACTATCGAAAAGCCTAGTTTTTGACATGCTTTTCATTATTCAAAGCCTTATACAAATAAGGATATTGAAATAAAATGAGAATGTTTTAAACATTTTTTTAGATCTCTAAAAATATCTCATCATTTTGCATTTCTCTTTGCCAATTCTTGCCTGAACAGAAAAATGAATGCATCTTTAGAAAAACAAAAATATGTATTATATTTTTTGCATATTTCAGTTTTATGATTTTATGATCCTAAACTGATGTTAATTAGCCAAAAGCATGAAAAAAATCAAATTTCCCGCCATAAATATTATCTTGCTTTTGGTGTAAACAGGGTTTCCGGAAACTTTCAGAGATTTTAAAAGTTTTGAAAACATCATCTTGAACCCCTGAATAATGCCTGAATTTGCATTTCAAGTTTTTGTTACTTATAAGGCGTTGAATAATGAAAATCATGCCAAAAACCAAGATTTTTGATAATTCTGGAAGTATCCAACAGTAGAATTTATGCCTATTCGTTACCAATTTCAATAATGGATTTATTTCAAAAATCCCCATAGGAGAATTTGGTTTTATAAGTCATTAGTTCCGTATAGACATGGGTTGGGTACAACAAAAGTCTTGATTTCCTTCCGCCCCACTGTGTATTGCATACAGGGTTAACCAAATGATGAGGCTTTAGTGACGACCATGGACTACCATGATCATAAAGTCTTTTACTCTCTTGAACGAATTTTTGGTTCTAACTCGCCCTTATTTCGAGTCTTTGTTTAACATATTCATCTTATCTCCATGTCATAAATTTGTTTCATATAAAATTCATGCATTTTTAATGAAAAATGCTCATTCTTAATCGGTAACACTGCATGAATAAAGTTTTCTAAGTGCATAGGCTAACTTTGAAGTAATTCGTAACAAAAGTGCAAAAACCGGTTTGAAAAAAATTCTAGTGTGCAGAGGGCTGGGACCGGTTTTGTTCCGGGCATACAAACTGGACAGCTGATTGGTGAAACCAGTTTTTCCAGTTCTACCTGAGTGTTGCAGGTGACATCTTGTGAGCTTGTTTCCCCGTCCTATGTACAACATTTATTGTGAGAAAGTGATTTGAAAAAGAAAAAGAACCTGAGAAATTGGGTTTTAGACTCCGTCGGAGACGTTTCCGGACTGGAGACTAGACTTCTGTTCGGGGATAAACACATAGTGAAGGAATTCTTCCTGGAACAATGTCAAGGATAAAATTATTCTAAAAATATAAATAATAATTACTTTTTTTCGCAGCGCTGGATTTAAAATTCCATTATATGATTTCTGCAAAAGATGAATATGAATGAATTAGCATGCACTGTACAATGTACATACAGTCACAGAGCCCAATATATGAAGGAATTAGCATGCACTGTACATACAGTCAAAGAGCCCAAAACTTAAGGGTTAAGAGTGACAGAGTATCATTTTAAACCAAGCCTCAGAAACCCATCGGGTTATGCAATTTCAAACGTTTTTGTTTAGTTAAATTGTTTTTTGTGTATTTCCCGTTTTAAACTGTACAAAGTACAAGTAAAACCAAGCAAATATACGGATTCAGCATGCACAAAAGAGAAAGGAAAAATCTTGCCTTTATAGTAATACTTTTACAGAATCTTTGGAATTTTAAATCTTAAAAATAAAACCATATGAGTTTCTCTAATTATGATTTGATTCTATGTACTGAAATGGGTAATGGGGTGTGAGTAAAAATTCATTTTTACAAGTATATATAATCTTCAAAAATTAGTCATATTAGGATAATCTAATCACCAATGCAACTATCTCGTCAACTGAAAACTAAAAAATGTAAAGTATCAAATATTAACACTTCAAATCAATATAATTTTTTTTTTTTTTTAAATATTAAATATTAAATTGAAAATGAATTCCAATCTACGCGTTTAGACCAAATTCTTCGCTAAACATTTTTATGTGAGCTTAGTTTTGTAAACCACTAATAAATTCAAATATTGCCAAAAAAAATCCTCACGAAAAATTTTAAGTCAGAACCGATCAATACTATTATATTGCCATCAAATTTTTCTACAAAGGAATTAAGTCTTTGCCACAAACTCTGATTTTCTAATCCCTATATCTTTGCATCCCAATGTCGTAAACCTTTGATATTTCTAACTTAGATTATTTGATATACAAGAATTCATAGTTTGATATATCTAAGGTCTACGGCATTGGGTTGCAAAGATATAGGGATTAGAGAATCTGAGTTTGTGGCAAAAACTCAAATCTTTTGACTTTACCAGAGATCCAGCATATTAAAAAATTATGTAGAAACCCCGGTTCTCTCTGGTGCCAAACTTAATTCAGACGTTTTCTTACCAATTCATAATGATAAAGGATATAATATGAAACAACTAAAGATTTTATGTGACTCTTTATTAATGTGAAATATTTCACTTTCTGTCGCGGCTGTCCCAGAAAGTGATTTGCGGATTTCTACAGCAGTTCTGACGAGGATAAATACAATAAACTTTTTAAAAAACGTCAAAACTCGAAGTTTATAAAATCAATTTCAGCAAACCAATTCTGGAACGAAGAGATAGAAAAGAAAAAAAGATGACTGTCTACTGTCTACCTGGAACTGCTCTTTGAGTTGACTTTACTTGATGTATCCGAGTTCTTCCTAGATCCTGGCTTAGAACGCTGGGGGGAGGGAGGACATGTCAGGACTGGAGATATCGAGCTAAAAGTTAGAAATCCATGATGATCAAAAATATCTTTTTTTTTTCTTTTTTTTAAAACATGGAAAATCAAAAACGCGTAATCTCGTCTTCTCAGGAATTTTTAAAGATCAGGTGCGCATGGGTTGGTTTTCTTAAATCCTCTGAAACGATTCTTCTAATTTATCTAATTGGTTCTGAATCCCCTTTTTGAGATAATTCCCTTAAAATGATTTTCCAATATTCTATTTACCAGGAAACAGAAAATAAAACTTCCATTTTACAATTGGAAAAATTTGACAAGTTTATGCAAATGTAAAGAAAAGTGTAAAAAGTTTATGCAATTGTAAAGAAAATTATGAAAAGTTTATGCAAATGTAAAGAAAATTGTAAAAATTTTATGCAAATGTAAAGAAAATTGTAAAAAATTAATGCAAATGTAAAGAAAATTGTAAAAAGTTTATGCAAATGTAAAGAAAATTGTAAAATAAAATTTGTAAATGTATAGAAAATTTTAAAAAGTTTATGCAAATGTATAGAAAATTGCAAAAAGTTTATGCAAATGTAAAGAAAGGGTGTAAAAAGTTTATGCAAATGTAAAGAAAACTGTAAAAAGTTTATGAAAATGTAAAGAAAATTGTAAAAAATTATGCAAATGTAAAGAAAATTGCAAAAAGTTTATGCAAATGTAAAGAAAACTGTAAAAAGTTTATGCAAATGTAAAGAAAATTGCAAAAAGTTTATGAAAATGTAAAGAAAATTGTAAAAAATTATGCAAATGTAAAGAAAATTGCAAAAAGTTTATGCAAATGTAAAGAAAACTGTAAAAAGTTTATGCAAATGTAAAGAAAATTGCAAAAAGTTTATGCAAATGAAAAGAAAATAAAAATTACTTAGAATGTTTCGGAGATTGTGTTGCAGACTTGGAAACTTGAATTTCAAACTCAGGTTCGTCCTAAACATTATATTATATTGCTTTAAAGGGATCATTCACATATTATCTAAAGGGAATGTTGATGGCATTTCAACGGACGGTACAGGTTGCATTTCTGATTCTCAATGGTACCCTTTGAACGCTTTGTCTAAAATGCTAAAGATAGTTTTTGTGAAAATTGATCAATTTAATTTTAGTCTAATTACCTTTATAAACGGGACTTGCGGAAAGGAATTGAGTCTTTGGAACAAAATCAAATATTTAAACCACAATATCTATAAAACTTGATGCTGTACACCTTTGATATTTCAAACTCAGATTAAATGATCTTATAGAATTCATAGTTTGAAATATTTAAGGTCTGCAACATTTGGTTCCAAAGATATAGTGATTAGAAAATTAAAGTTTGTGGCAAAGACTCAATTCCTTTGCATAAGACGCAAGAAAGGAAACGACAAACGCCGATATCTTTCTCAATATTACACAAATAAAGTTTATAGGGTACCGCTGTGAATCAGGCATTCAATGCGTACAAATAGGATTACTTAAGCACATATTTTTGCAAAAGAGATATTGTTAAAGTAGAGATGAGCATCGAGCTTGAAAAAACAATATTTTTTACTGAAAGAACGAATTTTCCAAAAAAGATTTTGAAAAACTATCGTTTTAGACTGAACGAACAATTTTTGGAGCAAAATTTTAAAAAAATAACGTTTTTCTCTGAACGAATGATTTTGTTGGACGAAAAATTTTACTGAACGCTCGTTTTGTGAGGAAACGAACGAAAAAGATATTTTAATAAATATTTTTTTTGAAGGATAAAAAAACGAACAAAATGAGTTGAACGAATGAAATGAAAAAAAATCGAACGTACCCATCTCTAGTTAAAGGAATATTAAGTTTAGCATATTAAACAAACACAAAAATATACTTTATCAATAATTCTCTTTTAGAAGTTTAATGATGAATATCAAATTCATATAGTATACAAAATTTAGGTCAGATTATTGATTCAGTTTGAATTCTGGAAAACTGTTTATAATTTTGCAATTTTTTGTTATCATTTAAAATTTTATTCTTTTAAATTCTTTGCTTTGAGTATCAAACATTTCTTCAAACTTTATCTTTTACTTTATCTTTCTTCAACAAGTTAGATTAAAATATAAACTTTTTCTCAATTTAATGACTTTCATATTTGGAATTGAATTTTTTTCAATCTAAAAAATTTCTGAAGAAAAAGAACTCATATAGAGAAATATTAGAATCTGAATCATTTTACCGTTGGAAGCAATATATATTTTAAATTATCATAATTAAGTCTATTTGACAAAAAAGCACATTTATAGGATAAAAGAATTATTCCAAGGGTTCTATCTACTGGATAATGATATTTTGTTAGTAAGTTATTAAATTGTATGAAAGAAGAAGAAGAAGAAGAAGAAGAAGAAGAAGAAGAAGAAGAAGAAGAAGAAGAAGAAGAAGAAGAAGAAGAAGAAGAAGAAGAAGAAGAAGAAGAAGAAGAAAAAGAATGTTCTGGATCAGAGAGAAGGAAAATTACAATGCTGAGCTTTAACCCTGGATTGAGACCAGAATATGAATGTATTCTCCAGGGAATAGAAAAGTAAGAAGGCAAATCATTCTTTATCATTTCTTTCAAAACATAAAAAAACCAAATTACCAAAGGGATATAAAAATAATACAAATATCTATTTAAGGACCCAATTAAAGGGGCTGTTGACTTAATTTAATGTGACGCCCCATTTAGAATTTCAGACCTGATTCACAACGGTACCAAGGAAATTCTTATCTGAGCAAAACTGAGGAAGATATCATCGCTTTTTTAGCCTTTAAATATATTGAATTCTGTCTGTTAATTTTCTTTTATCTATTTTTAACATTTATTTTTAAATTTAAATTTTCATTGTTTTAACAAAGCTTTAAAAAGAGCAGGGAATTTTTTCTCTGGCTGTTTTATCTTCTTTTTAGCTGATCATACATGTGTTTTCTGTTCCTCTCTTTTAGATCTACGCATTCTGATCCCTTGTAATTCCATTTTTTCTTTTCTATTTGTGTGAGGGGTGTATACCCCCCATATACACTCCTGGCTAAAGTATCTATAGTTGGTCATTTTCTCTCTCTCACCCTATATCTCTGAATACTTTTAGAAGCGCCGAGAAAGACCCAGCTGTTACTTCTCTGAAAGCTAAATGTACACTGTTTCTTTTACCTTTCTTTTCTTCAAAAAGCGGCATATCACTTTTTTACAGAAATCACAAAGGATATTTTTTATTTTCAGACAAAGGGTACTATTGTGAATCTAGTAATTTCAGACAAAGGGTACCATTGTGAATCTAGCAATTTCAGACAAAGGGTACCATTGTGAATCTAGCAATTTCAGACAAAGGGTACCATTGTGAATCTAGCAATTTCAGACAAAGGGTACCATTGTTAATCTAGCAATTTCAGACGAAGGGTACCATTGTGAATCTAGCAATTTCAGACAAAGGGTACCATTGTGAATCGGGCATTTTACATCCACAGCCCATTAAAAAGATTTTTGGCCACATATCACATATTAATACATTGCATGCACTTTATATGCAATATATATTTCTCAATTTAAACACGATTGTATTTTATTTTCATTTTCCATAATCTTGTAAACATTGTTTTTGATGAAAGGAAACAGAGAACTCTTTTAAAAAATATACTTCGTCAAAGTTTGGTTGAATCTTCAAGGGTTTAGTCCACAGCACCTAGTTTATATTAGTGGTAAAAATTAAATATTGAAAAAAAACATTTATTAAGATTCTGTTTATTTGCCTGTTAATAATGAAATGTAATTAAAGGGAGGGTTCTCGAAAATTAAGTTATGTCTCAAATAGGAAAGAACCCGAGATAAATTATTTATCTATTGTTTCATTTCTATCTGATGTTTCTGAAACCAAAAAGAGAATTTAAAATAAACTGTGTATCATGGATTTTAACACTGGTTTTGTATTAAACGAGTTTTTTCTCTAGCGGAGCCGATAGCATCGTGTTCGGTTTATGTCAAACTCCCTTAACCTTTACAGAAACATCTAATAGAAATAATCTATTTACAATTAAAGTAGGGTACTTAACCTTCATTATATGCGAACACCCCCTTTATAAAGTAAATCTAACCTCAGGTTCGTCAATAGATAGAACAATAGTTGGAGAGGTTGACCTAAATATGCATGAAATTATCTAAACGCATGGATGGACTAGGGTCAATTTGAATTCGTACTGGACCGACCTCTTCTACTGGGCTTAATGACGTACGGCAAGTACCGGCCCAACCTTATCCTATGTCGTCTTTCTTTAAACTTTAATGGCGCAGCCTGACTTTTCACAGTACTAGGACTAGCATAGGCCTATTTGACCTACTCCACTAGTTTAGTTTAGTAGTTTAGTTCATAAGAACATTTCCAATATTGTTTGAACTTTGAAAATAAAAACCTTTAAAGAAAGTGTCCATTGAGTAGCGGTGAACTATAAAAAGATCTCAAAAAAGTCTTTATTTTACCTTCGAAATAAAGGACGTAGATCTGGGACCTCGAGGCTACTACGAACTGTTTCCATGCTGAACTTTTTTTGGACCTTTGGGGGTTTAATTTGTAGTTCCATCCTGCAAAATAAGATTGAAATTATAAAATTAGTTAAACGCTAAATATAAACTTCTTTAAGCCAATAAATAGGTGATTAGACAGATATAAACTTGTATGAAACAATTTGTATGAAAACTTTTGAGTTTGACAAAATCTTAGAACTTAGGGTTTGGTTGGTTAGGCTGGCATTCAGCACTGCGGCTAGAACTCCAAGGACATTATGGGAAAGGTGAGTGCTGCGGCTAGGAGAGGCTGGAGGACCGAGTCCAGAAAATAAGACATAACATGGAAGCCAAGTGCTACGGTTAGGACATGATAAGGAAGCCAAGTGCTCTGGCTAAGACAAGATATGGAAGCCAAGTGCTCTGTCTAGGACATGATATAAAAGCCAAGTGCTCTGGCTAGGACATGATAAGGAAGCCAAGTGCTCTGGCTCAGACAAGATATGGAAGTCAAGTGCTCTGGTTAGGACATGATATGGAAGCCAAGTGCAGCGACTAGGACATGGTATGGAAGCCAAATGCTCTGGTTAGGACATTATATGGAAGCCAAGTGCAGCGACTAGGACATGGTATGGAAGCCAAGTGCTCTGTCTAGGACATGATATGGAAGCCAAGTGCTCTGGCTAGAAGATGATATGGAAGCCAAGTTCTCTGGCTAGGACATGATATGGTAGCCAAGTACTCTGGCTAGGACATGATATGGAAGCCAAGTTGTCTAGCTAGGACATGATATGGAAGCCAAGTGCTCTGTCTAGGACATGATATGGAAGCCAAGTGCTCTGGCTAGGACATGATATTGAATCCAAGTACTCTGGCTAGGACATTATATGGAAGCCAAGTTGTCTGGCTAGGACATGATATGGAAGCCAAGTGCTCTGTTTAGGATATCATATTGAAGCCAAGTGCTCTGGCTAGGACATTATATGGCAGCCAAGTACTCTGGCTAGGACATTATATGGAAGCCAAGTTGTCTGGCTAGGACATGATATGGAAGCCAAGTGCTGCGGCTTGGACATGATAAGGAAGCCAAGTGCTGTGGCTTGGACATGATAAGGAAGCCAAGTACTGCGACTAGGAAATGATAAGGAAGCCAAGTGCTCTGGCGAGGACATAATATGGAAGCCAAGTGCTGCGGCTTGGACATGATATAGAAGCCAAGTGCTGTGGCTTGGACATGATAAGGAAGCCAAGTACTGCGACTAGGAAATGATAAGGAAGCCAAGTGCTCTGGCGAGGACATAATATGGAAGCCAAGTGCTGCGGCTTGGACATGATATAGAAGCCAAGTTGTCTGGCTAGGACATGATGTAGAAGCCAAGTGCTCTGGTTAGGACATTATATAGAAGCCAAGTGCTCTGGCTAGGACATGATATAGAAGCCAAGTGCTCTGGCTAGGACATGATATAGAAGCCAAGTGCTCTGACTAGGACATGATATGGAAGCCAAGTGCTCTGGCTAGGACATGATATGGAAGCCAAGTGGTCTGGCTTGGACATGATATGGAAGCCAAGATTTCGAAAAAAATTGTATATTCTGAATTTGTCCCTTTATATTTTATCCTGCTGTTGAACACAATAATAAATATCTAAGAAGCAAATAAAAAACACAAATATGTTTACAAATATGTTCAAAATATGTTCAAAATATGTTCAAAATATGTTTACAAATATGTTCGAAATAATATTTAAAACACAAGACTAAGAAAAAAGCATTACAATCACAGAAATTTTATCACCAGATGATCAAAAAATGAAAGAAAATTATCACAACAAATCTAACGAGAGTGAAATGAAATCACAACCAGGATTAAGTCACAATATTAAGAATTACGAGCTGAGGATGCAAAATCACAAAAAATATTTTTAGAACAGAGTTAATTTATTCATCTGTAAGTAAATTCAACTGAAACATTTTGCTTTACTTACAAATTTTAGGAGAAATTAATACAATTATTTTAGCATTCAAGCACTTTTTTTACCTTGCTTGGAATTAACATTACACCAATTTTAAACTTTAATCATAACATTCCTTTAAAAGTGCAAGAAAAAAAGCTAAGAAAGCCTAGAAAACATAACAACTTTATTGTAACTGTATAAAAATAATCTAGAAAATATAGGAACCGTGATATAACTGAATTAGAATAAGCTAGAAAATATAGGAACCATGATATATCTGTATAAGAATAAGCTAGAAAATATAGGAACCATGATATATCTGTATATGAATTATCTAGAAAATTCAGGAACCATGATATATCTGTATAAGAATAAGCTAGAAAATATAGGAACCATGATATAACTGTATAAGAATAAGCTAGAAAATATAGGAACCATGATGTAACTGTATACGAATAAGCTGAAAAATATAGGAACCATGATGTAACTGTATAAGAATAAGCTAGAAAATATAGGAACCATGATATAACTGTATAATAATAAGCTAGAAAATATAGGAACCATGATATATCTGTATAAGAATAAGCTAGAAAATATAGGAACCATGATATANNNATTATTTGGAATAAAAATACAAAAACCCCATGATTATGGTTGAAAAAAAAGGTTTTTGTCGTAAATAATCCCTGGCACAACTTCTTTGTCCGACATTTTAGATAAACTGCTGAAAAGTGTACACTGTGTGTACTGTGTACACTGTAACCTAGGAGATAGGAGATATATCGCTTGTCAAAGCATTATTAAATGGTGTGACAAAAGATTGCTAACTCGGAGAATAATGTGACAGAACTCATACTTATTGCGATAGAATTTTCAAATTTGCATGTTATCTAGCACTCATTATAAATACTGGAACAGAAGTTTTTTCTTGTTTTAATCAATATATTTCCTGTGACAGTAACATTTTCTGGTCAAGTTAATTATAAGAAGTGTGACAATAAATATAAGTAATGGGAGGTTTTTTTAGTGGTTTTCATGGAACCTATTTGTTCTTCGACAGCATTTTACCAGATTTGGAAGAAATGTTTTTCTAACAGTGTGGGCGGAATTTGTTAGAAAAAATAGATGCATCAGTGTTCGTTTAGTATCCAAGGAGGTTTAAAGCATTAAATTTTAATAATTTTGATAATTCACATAACAGTTTCCAATGACCAGAATATTTTATTGATCTTTTATGTGAAAGATGGATCCCATGTCAGACTTCGACATCCGTCTTGAGTTTACATCACCGCCCAGAGACAGTACACTGCAGTGCAAAAGATGCGTACACCTCTGAAATATCATTCCTTGCATTATAACTTTGTTACTGAGTAAAGAAAAAGTAAAAAGAAAAAGTTTGTTGTTAATGTTAATCTGGGAGTAACCAGAGATATCATATATATTATATCTATATGGATATGTAAGATAAGATTTTTTCTTTGTTTTTTTTTCTTTTTTCTTAATTAATATTATGGCTCTCTAGTCTCGACTCTAGATCCTTATATTGTCTTATAAAAATACTAGGTATTTAGGACACTTTACCCTCCTCTTTCATTGGCGACCTTAAGTGGGGGGGGGGGAGAGGAGACATTTTCCTTTGGAAAAACAGTTTCAACATTTTTAAAACCTAAATGTATATTCAAGAAAAACTGCACACGTGCAAATTCCCTTTGTGTGTGCAAAAATCTGTGCAAAATTTCTTAGCAAAAATTTGAATGATAAAGAATTATCTGCTTTCTTTAAAAATTTCTATTACGAAATATGTTCCTTAACAACTAATTAGTTTACTGTACATTTTTTTTTATATTTTTCATCATCGCTATTGATTAACTTTAAAAAACCGATTCTCAAAATGTAACCTCGAAAATAAAAAATCTGAAAGAATTTCAAAGGTCAATAATTTTGAGGTGGTAAGGGTTGGGGGGTCCAATATAGATCGGGAGGGTAGGAGGAGGGGGGGGGGTTGCCTCCTGCGCGTACTTTTCTATATCCCCAAGAGACCTTTCCTTCAGCATTAATCCCTTCCAGCCATATATATCACGGTTTCCAATATAACAGTATAGTCAATTATCAGGGATTAAAATTTAATCTTGTAATCCGTTATTGGATTAACAATTATCCCACCAATATCTTCATGTTCCAGAAAAGGGGGAATTTAATAATTCCTAAAAACTGGTTTATATCCTCAAACTTAAGTTTTCAGAAACTTTTATTTTTGCAACTGATGTTGAAGACTTTAGACATTTGAAACTTTGAACTATGTTGGACAAAAAAGTCAAAGCTTGAAAAATGAAGGGTTGACGCCATAAGTTTTCAAAAATAACTGGATTAAAAATTTCTAGACTGAGGCAAGTATTCAGTCCCCAATCACTCAACTTTCATTGGTCAAACTTCAGAAAAATTGACCAATGACAGCAACGTTTTTATTCTGCTCTGATTTAAACCAAGGAACTATATACAGGAATGCCCAACTCAGATATACGCAAATTGTATACTGTACACTGTGGGAGGAATGTAAATAAACCCAGTGCCCCCACGGAAGTTGAAGAAAAAGGACTACAGAGCGAATACATATGATTTTTGGCTTTCTGGTCAATAAGGAAAATACAATAGCAATATATTCTTATTCCACCCCTGGCCTTGGGCCCTATTCTCTCAAAAATGATGCGTTGTCCCTGAATTCTTTGTTTTGATCTCATCCCACTGCAGTACACAGATTTGACGCATGAGATATGGCGGTTCCTGGTCTATATATTTCTTGATTTAAATTATATTCGTCTATTCAAATGTTCTCGGGCTTTAGTAGGTGTTGATCATTTATTGACTAATCTTAAGCCAAAACTTTTGTGTTTTTGAATCACGTGATCAAGCATTGAATTTTATATTGTGCTGACCTACGGATTAATTTTATATTGTGCAGACCTACAGATTAATTTTATATTGTGCAGACCTACGGGATTAATTTTATATTGTGCAGACCTACGGTATTAATTTTATATTGAGCAGACCTATGGATTAATTTTATATTGTGCAGACCTACAGATTAATTTTATATTGTGCAGACCTACGGTATTAATTTTATATTGTGCAGACCTACGGGATTAATTTTATATTGAGCAGACCTACGGGATTAATTTTATATTGAGCTGACCTACGGGATTAATTTTATAAAAAAATTTTCACACACAAGTTCAGACCTCATGAAACATGATAAATTGATGAAATTAACCAACCAAAAAAAACTAAGAACCCCAGTCATAATTTATTTTAAACGTCCTAAGTTTCCGTACTTTTTGTGTTCAAGAAAAGAATTGAGTTTTTGTCACAAACTGAAATTTTCTAATCCTTATCTATTTTGAACCTAATGTTGGAAACCTTTGATATTTTTAACTTAAATTATTTGATCTGATAGAACTCATTTTATGAAAAATCTAAGGGTTGCATAGGGATTAGAAAATCAGAGTTTGCGGCAAAGGCTCAACTTCTTTCCATGTTAGAATAAGTTTTCTAACTTATCTAACTTTCACAACTTTTCTAACATTTCTAACTTTTGCAACTTTTCCTTCTCTATCGCTAATATGACAGAACATGAATTTGGAGCCTAAATAGAAAATTTATTATAAAGTTCCAAAAATAAAGTATTATAAAGTTCCGAGAAAATCTGTCATATTCTATGTATGTTCAATTCAAATGTTTAATTATTACATAATTTAAAAATTGATTGATAGATTTTAATTCATATGTGTTAAAACTGTTTGAAAACTGATTTCGTAGACTTTTAATATTTCAAACTACAAAGGCTGTTGGATCAAATAATGAAAATTTAAAGTATCGTGCAAAAGTTTAAAAATGAAAGGGATAAGAAAATTAGCGTAGTTTATGTTCAATTTCTTTAACTGAAATTTAATTTGGTTGTGGTTTCATTTTACTGTTCAATCATTCTTGGAATTTAATATTTATTTGTCATTCTTGCAATGAAGCCAACAAGTATATTTTTGATGCGCAATGTGCAATTAGCTTTTATTTAGAATTACAATGGTGCAACTTAATTTGTAGCTGTAAATAGTTTTTAATTAAGCTTAAGTTTTGCAAAGTTTTTGATTCTTGTTTTTAACATTTTTATTTGAACTTTTACGATATTTTGCAAAAATCAGATTTTAAATATTTAAAAAATTTGGTTTGCAATATTTGCTCTTGTTAAACTTTGCAAAATTTTTTCTCCGACAGAAAAAAAACAAGACTATAGTTTGTGTTAACAATAGGAGTTACTGAATTTACGAAAACCTTTAACCATCGATTAAATGCTAAATTTTTTGTGGATTTTGATATTAAAAATAATGTGCATTTTAACTATTTTGACACCACACCTACCATAGTTAAATTTTTCCTCACAAAATTGATCAGTTAATTGTCAGCAATCTATATATATTAAAAAGTCGGTGATGGTGACGGACCAAACCTCAGCAGAGTAAAAAAAGTAGATGTTCGTTCCACATTTATTGAAAATATATTTCGGTCTGGGTTGACCCTCGTCAGTTCTCACGATAATAACCATCAAAATCGATAAAAAAATTTTAAATATATAAAAAATATATATTATATATGAGTAATTTTTGGACTAACAAATTATTTTTTATCAGGAAGTCAATATTTTTTTGTAACTTTCCCTTTAAAAGCGTCGAAAAAAAAAATCGAAACAATTCCCATAAAAATCCTTATTTACAAATTCTGCATCTTATTTTAAATGTACTTGAACAATGCGTATTTTTGCAAAAAATAATTCTGAGGTTTCTTATAAATTCAAATTATATTATCAAGAGTGTAAGACGACATTACCTCTCTCTGTTAATCAGAAAATGTTTGTATACGCACTTTACGCACTTTACGCACTTTAATCATTTATTTTACTTTTTCACTGATAACTAAATAGCTTATGAAGAACCATTGAATAATACCTGTAAACGGAGTAAGAGAGAGCAGATCTTAAAGATATTTTCTATTCAACTTGATTTTATGACATTTAATCTAAAATAAAAAGAGAAATTAATTTATCTTTTATTCAAGTCATGCAACGGTTAATACTAGATTGAGAAACCAAACCCAAACCAAACTTTCTCTATTAAAGTCAACTCACTTAATTTAGAATTTTTAAACCAAGCTAAGGACATTCCCGTGGGTCCCCATAAAAAATGTGAGGCAAATCGGTCAAAGGGTTTACGAGTTATGATCAGACATACAAACAAACATACAGAAATTACAATTTATAGAATACTGTTTAAAAACTCAATATCGTTTGAAAAATCTTACAAAACATTTGTCATAATCTTAATTAATTATTCAATGGACATTTAAAATTATTTAAAATATTTGTTGTGACATTTTAAAGATTAAATATTTTATTATTGTGTCTTTAACCAAATATGCTTAATCTTAAACCTTATTTAAATTGAAATACAAAACTTGAGAAATGTATGGGAGTGATTTATCTTAATATTAAACTCCCAGGTGCAGTTTAGGATCAAGAATATTTTGATCTGAGGTGGTAAATAATGAATGAAGGAAAAATAGTTTAACTAATTCTTTTTATTCATAAATTCAAAACTCTGGTAAAAAAGGTTGAGCCTATGCCACAGATTGAAATTTTCTTATGTCTATCATTGCATCCTGATGGTGTAAACCTTTGAAATTTCAAACTTAGCTTATTTGATTAAACAGAATATTCATATTTTGAAATATCTAAGGTATATGGCATTGGGTTGCAAAGATATAGGGATTGGAAAGTCCGAGTTTGTGGCAAAGATTGCGAAAAGATAGTTAGCCTAAAGAACAAGATAAATATCTAAAATATGCCGACATTTTCTTTTTTCCTAATAAAGTAAGATATATTTCTTGTTTCTAACATTTTTCATTAACTTTTCATCATAACCGAGTACAGGGTTAGCAGGGGACAACTATCAGATAAAGAATTGAGTCTTTGCCACTAACTCTGATTTTCTAATCCCTAGCTTTATCCTTGCAACTTGCAACTCAATGTCATAAACCTGAGATATTCCAAACTATGAATTCTGCTATAGATCAAATAATATAAGTTTGAAATATCATTTAAGCCATCCGGATACAAAGATATAGAACTTAGCAAATTTGAGTTTGTGGGAAAGACTCAACTAATTTTGTGAAGCAGCTACTGTGTTACATATTGTACTTGTTGTTAAATTCTTGTCTCTTTACCAAGAAGGGAAAGCTGCAACAGTTTTTATTCCATCCGGCCATTGTATTGCGCGTTTAAAATGAAGTTTTTTAACAAGACCAAACGAGTAGCGGCGTAAACAAATGGATTCATTGCAGCCGGGAATCCGGCCTCCCTCCAACCCTTGACAAATGTCAAGGAATTGAGTCAATGTCATAAACTGATATTTTCTAATCCCTTAGTCTTTGAAGCCTGATGGTGCAAACCTTTGATATTTCAAACTTATGGCAAAGATTCTGTTCTACATATTCAAATATTCTTCTGGAAGCTCAGTTCTTTTTCTTCAGGAATGTTTTTGATTAAACAAAAATTTTATTCAGAATTTGAAAGTCATTAAATTGAGAAAAAGTTTATATTTTAATCTAACTTGTTGAAGAAAGATAAAGTAAAAGACAAAGTTTGAAGAAATGTTTGATACTCAAAGCAAAGAATTTAATAGAATTTAACTTTCTTTTTAAATAATTTCTCATTACATAATTAATAAGTTTTTAAATGATTACAAAAAATCTTGTCTTTTTGCAATGTCTAAACCGTCCTTTCAGAGGCTTAATGAATTTCTGATCATAACTAAATTAATTTCAAGATGCCTCCAGGATGGAAGTACTACATGGTTAAAATATTAATTTCAAGATGCCTCCAGGATGGAAGTACTACATGGTTAAAATATTAATTTCAAGATGCCTCCAGGATGGAAGTACTACATGGTTAAAATATTAATTTCAAGATGCCTCCAGGATGGAAGTACTACATGGTTAAAATATTAATTTCAAGATGCCTACAGGATGGAAGTACTCCATGGTTAAAATATTATCGGATTTGGTCAACCCTGCTCTGAGTAAATGCTCTTAATCTTTACCTATGAAACTGATCAGCCTACACGCAAAAAAATATGGCTGAAGGAGGTCCAGAACTGCCTTAATAATGACACGAAAGGTATTCAATACAACCCAAAAACTCTAAAAAAGCTTTGCAAGTTACCAGATTACAAGGTGGAGTTATAATTGCACTAAATACCGAAATCTTATATGTTTTCATATATATATATATATATATACTTTGCTTGTCTGTCTGTGTGTCTGCTTCTTTGTTTTCAGGGAAGGTTTATGAATAATCAAAATTTCAAAAATTAGTCCCCAACAAAATTCGATTGTCAATAAATTTTAAAAATTCACAGAAATTTTTGATAGAATCCACGATTTTTTGGTTTTTTTTTACAATGTAGACAAAGAGAAAAATGTTCACAATTGAAATGGAAGATGGGCGCGAAGCACCCACGAAGATATAAGATATAAGAAAAATACTCTTCTTCGATGGCTTTTGAGAAAAACTAAAATGTTTTAAGTTTAACAACATGAACCTGATATATTTGATTTCCTCATATTTGTGCTTAAAACTAAAGCTATACAAGAGCTACGAGGTCGCAAACTCGCATCAGTAATTAGGCATAATTTGACCTTGTTCTTGTGTCCTAATCGGCTTGCTTCAATCATCAGATTTTTTTTTCGGTCGTCATTTTAGTCTCAACTAGTGTTTCCAGAAAACGATAACTTTTGCGAAAGGAAGCAAAAAATATTCGGAATTTTTCACTTTGTAAATATTTTTGCCTTTTTTCGCGAAACAGATTAACTCGAATTGTTTTTCTACGAAAGGAATGTGATTTCCCCAACTGACTTGAAACCCTATAGTCTAGTCTGAACCTGGCTGTTCTGTATGTAACTATTAACCTTCTAGGATCCATGTTTATTGTTTAATATTTAAATCTCCGGAGATTCAGATCCAGATAATATTATTCAAATTTTCTAGCCAAGGTCGATGGGGTGGGGGTGGGGGTATAATATCGGGAAAAAGAGCTAAAACCCATTAGAGGATTTCCGAAACTTCAAAAGCAAAATAATAGTTTTAAACATTGAAAAGAATGTGTCTAACCTATTAGATCAGAAACATTTAGTAGATCTATGTCCGAATTTTATGAATTTGAGCCACGGCTTAAATCTGCTAAAAACCGGTTTCAATTGAGCGCCGGCTTAGATCTTGAAAAATTGAATACAATTTTTGTGGAACCAACAATATTTGAGCCGCAGCTTGAATTTAAGCCACGACTTAAATTCTTTTAATTTGGCCTCTAGCTATGTATATGTATTATATGTATTATGTCATGAGGCCGAAATTAAAGAATTCTAGACGCGGCTCAAATATAGTTGTATTCAATGTTTCAAGATTTAAGCCGGCGCTTAATTGAAACCGGTTTTTGGTGGATTTAAGACGCGGCTCAAATACATTAAATTCGGACTATGGAAGAACTATTCCAGATTTTATCAAAACAAATTTGTTATTATTGAATGTAACATTTAGGATTTTTCAAACAGTAAATACTTTGAGGCTTTCAATAATAATTTTTCGCAAATCCCTTTTATCTTAAATTTATTTTTATAAAATGAAATACATTGTTTTACGGAAAGGAATTGAGTCTTTGCCACAAACTCGGATTTTCCCATCTCTATATCTTTTAAACTTGAAAACCTTTGATATTTCAAACTTAGGTTTTTTGATCTAGAAGAATTCATAGTTTGAAATGTCTGAGATCTACGATATTGTGTTGAAAAGATATAGAGATTAGAAAATCAGAGTTTGTGTCAAAGACTCATTTCCTTTGCTAATTTTTTTACTTATTTTATATCTTTATATACTATGCAAAAAAAAACAATAACCCTACTAAAAAAGTTATGAAAACTAACGCAGATATTTATACTCAGTTCTCACCCATCACTATGTGTATACTCCAACAGTTTATGTGAAAAGTAAAAATGTAAACTTTAAAGAAAAGGTTTTCTAGTATAAAGTGTGTCAAGGTGATTAATGAGATGTTCCGTTCTATTTTTATTCATCTTTAAAGGGAGTGTTCGCGAAAAATGAAAGGGGGTATAGGCCAACGTCGAATCGAACTTAATGGTGATTGCTCCTAATCTTACACATGACTAATTATACCAAGGATTTGCAATCTTTTATTGAGATCTTAAATAATTCAATTTAATTTAAAACAAACCATTCAGATATTATAATCTATTATTTTCGAATTTAATTCGATGCATTCATATAAAGTTGATATTTAATAATATTTTTTACTTTAGACGATAATTTTTTGGTTGCTGGGTGTGGCTAAGTGTCTCTCCCAAGTGGAACCCCTGAAGCATTGAGAGCAGAGACACAACCAGAGGCCAAATAATCGTCGTTTAAAGTATGTTGTAATGAATATGAAACAGATAATAAAATCCTCAAAATGTGTGTCAGTAAATATACACTCACATTTCACACATAAACCTACCCCACCCGGCCCCTGGCTTTTTATTCACATTTAGTATTCTGCTTTACCACCCATCCATGATAATATTAATACATAGTGTTCTTCCCATTACAACATAAATTTACTTTCCTCCTATTTTAACATTACTCTTCAAAGTTTTTCTAAAAACCTCTTAACTCCTCCCATATTACCATTGCACTTTCTTTTAACTCCCATATTACCGTTGCACTTCCTTTTAACTCACATATTACCATTGCACTTCCTCCTAACTCCCATATTACCATTGCACTTCCTTTTAACTTACATATTACCATTGCACTTCCTCCTAACTCCCATATTACCATTGCACTTCCTTTTAACTCCCATATTACTATCTTACTTCCTCTTAACTTCCATATTACCATTGTACTTCCTCTTAACTCCCATATTACCTTAGCACTTCATTTTAACTTCCATATCACTATTTTACTTCCTCTTAACTTCCACATT